ACCTATCTCACGTTGTAGGAAATGAAGGAAACGAACTTGTGAAGCAGGTAGTACAATGCTCCCATAGTAAGCACTCAATCAACGCCGGCGATTGGTTATTTAACATTACCTGTTCCTGTTCCTTGGGTGCCACTGCTCACAGATCTTCACTACATCACAGATCTTCACTACATTTATGATACTGTCTCATTCTGGTGTCTGTTTTGTCCAGGATCTCTCTTCCAAGGCCACCAACCCCCCAGCCCAAGGGGCATGCACCCACACCACACACCCTCTCTTCCTGTGCTACAGATGGTCACTAGAGCCATGCAGCTCCCCTCTGCTCTCACACTCGGCACAGCGCTGGCCGAGGAGCAGGCGCTCACTCACAGTAGCTCTTACTTTCAGTGTCCCTGATACCAGCCAGGATCTTCATTCGTTCTTTCAATATGCTTGTTCTGCCTGACTACTCTGCTGGGCCGGAGCAGGCGCTCACTCACAGTAGCTCTTACTTTCGGTGTCCCTGACACCAGCCAGGATCTTCATTCGTTCTTTCAATATGCTTGTTCTGCCTGACTACTCTGCTGGGCACGGGGGGTGGCCCTGGGAAGCTCCCTACTCTACAGACAAGTGGCAACTGGGAGAGGCACTCCGGGAGGAGGGAACTGCATGAGCAGAAGCAGGGAAGCCTGGAGATGTCTGAGGGAGGGGGTTGGAGAGGCTGGAGCTGGGGACATTGATATATGGAAAGGAGGAAGGCAGGACGTTCTTTACTTTCCAGCCCTCATCTGTCCCAAGCGAGGCCTAGAGCAGTCGGAAAGCTGCCAAAGTGTTCCAGTCTGGCAGACCTGGTCTCTGGGCCGGTTCTCTGGGTTTGCGTGATCCGAGGCCTCAGTTTCCCATCTAAACGACCGGGGTTGGCCTAAGAGTCTTCAGAAGGCCTTTCCATCCATAAAAGATCAGGAACCTTGAAAACCACGTGCTGCGGGGCGACTCCCGGGTCCCAGAGTTCCTCCAGCGCCAGGTCCCCCCAAGTCCTGAGCTCAGACACCACCACCCGATCCGCAACCTGCTCGGGACGACCCGGAGGTCAACCCAGGAGGCGGGGCAGACGCACCCAAATATCCCCCACTTAAATTCAGACCAATCAGCGTCGAGCTCCGCATGGGAGCGGTGGGGTCACTGGCCGCTGCGACCTGGGCATGCGCAACCTCTCGCCTAAGGCCTCCTCCCGCCTCGCATGCGCACCACGCCGCAGGAGGGGAAAGGGCAGGAGGGGATACGAACCTTGGTCCCATCCTGAAAGCCAGGGAGCTCTCCTCGGCCCTCCTGTATCACACGCTTTTGGATCCCGTCCTCCCGTAGTCTTGCGATGGTATCCGCCATCCTCCTTCTCCGCTGCTCTCTTTCGGCAACTTCCGGACTCGCTCGGTAGCTTCCGGACCTGCTTCGGCAACTCCTAGCGCCTCGGCCGCTTCCGAGCTAGCGCCATTTTGACTGAGGGCAGAAGCCGAAAAGGGACGGGACGTGGAAGTGGATGGTGATTGGTTCTCTGCGCGCGGCCCATCGCATGGGTCCGCCCAGGGGCGGGGCCTGAGAATGTCTGAGGGCGGTACCCGAGCCTGTCAGAGGGGCGGGGCCTGAGAATGTCTGAGGGCGGGACCCGAGCCTGTCAGAGGGGCGGGGCCTGGGTCTGCCAGGAAGGCGGGCGGGACCGTCCCCAGCAGTTGTCATTGAAGTAATCTGGACCGTGGCCCTTAAAGTTGTAGATGTGACACCAAGGTCAAGGGTCGGAACCCCGTACCGGCCAGCCGCCAAAAACTAAAAGAAGTTGTAGATGTAACAGCATTACAGTTAGGAAAACGAGAGAAAAAAAAAAGCCCACACGCAGTGCCACACCCCAAAACTGTTATTTTTGTGTATTCTCTTCTGGCTTCTTTTTCGTATCTAGTATAATTGTAGGGACTTTTGTATCCTGGGTTTTTCTCTTTTAAAAAAAGGAGTCCCGAGGAGAAGGAGAAGGAGAGGGAGGGTGTCAGTGTCGCTGTGGGAACCATAAGCTCCCCAGGAGACCGAGAGCCCCGTGTGGAGTCGGGCATGAGTCTGTCGTCACCACCGAATCCACGGTTTGTGGCACACAGTAGGTTCCTAATTAATATTACGGAGCAGGTGATTGCTACAAATGAGGTACCCTGGGGACCAAAACCTTTCTCTTCGCCTCTGGAAACTAGCTGTAAACTACAGCTTTAAGAGTCTTCTCCCACTTTCAAGGTTTAGGGAACCCAGTAAGGGAAATGTCATGGGACCTCTGCACTGTCCTGATCCCATCCTAGTAACTATGAAGGATTGTTGTCCTCACGTGACCCAGGTGCCAAGTGCTTCACATATTTATTCTGGTTAATTTTCTTTTCTTTTCTTTTCTTTTTTTTTTTTAGAAGATGACCGGTAAGGGGATCTTAACCCTTGACTTGGTGTTGTCAGCACCACGCTCAGCCAGTGAGCCAACCGGCCATCCCTATATGGGATCCGAACCCGTGGCCTTGGTGTTATCAGCACCACACTCTCCCGAGTGAGCCACGGTCCAGGCCCTTCTGGTTAATTTTCCAACAAGAAGTCCTCTGAGAGGCACAGGACCTCTGAGTAAAGGAGAAAGGTGCTTGTTTGTTTTTGTTTTTTAGCAACACAGGCAAGTTTGCAGGCAAGTTTTTCCAAATTTTGAAGCAACAATAGTCTGTATCTTATACAGATTGTTCCAGAAAATAGAAAAAGAAGGAAAGCTGACCAACATGAGGCTAGTTTAATCTTGATTTTTGAACCAGGTAAGTACACCACAAGGTAAGAAAAGTATACAGCTATTTTACTAATAAGTATAGCAATTCACAGAAGAGGGAACCCCAGTGGCTGACAAGTGCCTGAAGAGCTTTTCAGACTCTCCAGTCATCACAGAACCCAGATGAAAATGAGGCACCACTTCAGATTCATCAGATGGGCAAGCTGTTAGAAAGCTGGATGATACCAAGTGCTGAGAGAAAATCAGAAGCCCCGAGGTGGGCATGTCAACTCTTGCAGCCACTCAGGAGAGCATCTGTGGTACTTTGCAAGATCATGGGTACACTTGCTCTATAGCCTGGAAGTCCTCCTCCAGGAAAGATTCTTCACAGTTCAGAAGGAGGATGTTCACGGCAGTGATGTATGTGTTGGGGGCACCGAGGTCAACCTGAGTGTGCATTACTGGGGGGGTGAGGTGGATAATAAAACTGCTGGAAGCCCAACATGTTAAAACATGCATGTAGCCAGTGGAAACAACAAACAAGATGCTGTGGGAACGTTAGTGTCAAATGGAAAAATGTCAAAATGTAAACTACAAAATAAGTTTTGTACATGACACCATGTTTGTAAATTGCAAATACATCCACATAGGAGACAATGCCATGTGCGATACAAGGCCAGGCAGGATTCAAGGAAAGCGGCTAAGCACACTGACATGGGGTCTGATGGAAGGGAGGGAAGAGGAGGGAAGATGGAAAGTGAAGGAGAGAAAATGAATTAATACATCTCAAGAGGGGCCTTGTTCACCGTGATGATGTGTCACAAACTGAGAAGTAGAATCGACTCAACTCTACATGAGGTCATGAAATGAAGTGTGGAAGGGGTGGGGGTGGAGGAGGACAGTACTCTGGAGCTGAGTGGACCTGGGTGCAAATCCCACCACTTGCAAGCATTAGGGACTGTAGCAAACCACTCCTTCATTCCTGCCACAAATATTTATTGATCATCTACTTAGTGCCACACACTGTTCTGAGCACTGTAGATAATGGTGGTGAATAAAAACAGTGTAAAATAGGATAATTTCAGGTAAATACTGTTTGATGCAAAACTGGCTTTAGATTGCAGAGTCAGGGATGGCCTCTTTGAGAAGTGACATTTGACCAGGGACACAGATGACGACAGGAGCCAGCTGTGAGAGGAGCAAGGTTAAGTGCGTTCCAGGCATAAGGAACAGCATGCGCAAAGTCCTCAGGTGGTAATGAGCTTGGTCTGTGAAGACCGGAAGAAGGCGAAGGTGGCTGAGCGGAGTGAGAAGGGGCAGGGAGGGACCCGATGAGGTTAGAAAGGTAGACAGGCACCAGAGCATTCAGAGCTTCGTGGGCCTTAGTCAAGGGTACAGATTTTATTCTAACTACAATGCAACACCAACGCAAGGGTTTAAGCACAGGAGAGATTTAACACCATACTTCTAAAAAACATTTTATTTAAGAATAACATACAGAGAAAAGGATAGGTTTGAAAACTCAGTGCTGCGTGGAGACCGGATTGGAGGAGAGGGCAGCCACGTAAACCTCAGTTTCTACATCTGTAAAATGGTCGAGAATACCCCTCCCACGCCGAGCGGTGGTGAGGAAGGGGGAGAAACAGGCCGTGCCCAGAGTCTCCTTGGCACTCGAGGAGCGGGCTGCCGAGGGAGGCCCATCTCGGGCCTGGGAGTGTGGGGCGTGGAAGCCGCTGCACCCCCGCGGACACACCCCACCCAGCCTTGCGTCCGAGCGCGACCCGGCTGTCGTTCGCCCAGGTGGCCGCTGGGCGGCGCCGCGAACCCGGGAAGAGGCCCCGCCCAGCAGTGCGCTCGGCGCTCGGCAGCGCGGGCCTGTTGTGGGCGGGGCCGTTACGTGGGGGGCGGGGCCTCGGCCGGGGCGCGGGCGGGTC